AAACCGGGACTCAAGTCAACAGTTTGGACCATAAGGTAGACATAAACATTCAAGCAGAACAGAATGAAGAAACAAGAGTGCAAAAAACAAATAAATAAATAAAAGTCAAAAGACATAAGGAGAGGCTTAGGAGCCTCCAGGACAACTTTAAACATTTCAACATCTGAATCATAGGGGTGCCAGAGGGAGAAGAGGAAGAGCAAGAAATTGAAAATTTATTTGAAAAAATAATGGAGAACTTTCCCAATCTGGCAAAGGAAATAGACTTTTAGGGAGTCCAGGAAACTCAGAGTCCCAAAGAAGTTGGATCCGAGGAAGTACACACCAAGGCATGTCATAATTACATTACCCAAGATTAAAGAGAAGGAGAGAATGTTAAAAGCAGCAAGAAAAAAAGAGACGGTTACCTGCAAAGGGGGTTCCCATAAGACTGTCAGCTGATTTTCAAAAAGAAATCTTACAGGCAAGAAGGGGCTGGAAAGAAGTAATCAAACTCATGAAATGTAAGGACCTACACACAAGATTACTCTATCCAGCAAAGCTATCATTTAGAATGAAAGGGCAGATAAAGTGTTTCCCGGATAAGGTCAAGTGAAAGGAGTTCATCACCAAACCCTTATTATATGAAATGTTAAAGGACTTTTCTAAGAAAAAAAAAGATAAAAAATATGAACAGTAAGAGCTCATCCCCACTTTCAATCTTTGAGTCTGTCTCAATCTTGCTTGTTAGTTCAGTTTGCTCATTAAATTACACATATGAATGAAACCATATGATACCTAATATCTCTGACTGGCTGGCTTATGTCACTTAGCATAATGTTCTCCAGGTCTATCATTCTGTCACAAAGTGTAAATTTTTTCTTGTTCTTTTTTTTATGGCCAAATCTTTTTTTTTCCACTGTGTAAGTGTCCCATAATTGTTTTATCCACTTATGTACTGATGGACACTTGGGGTTTTATGCTATTTTTTAAAGAGAAGAAATATTCGAATTATTTGTGCAATTAGGATTCTGTTATCTTAAAATGTTAAGCTTAAGTAAAAAGGGAAAAAAATTGCAGGACTTATAGAACTTGTGACCCTGAGGTCTGGACAGTCAGAATATTAAGTTTCTGCATTTCACAGTTGGTATAATCAAGAACCTTAGGAGCAAGATAGGAATGGGTCTTTGTTATGCTTCTCACTGCCCCCTCCCCCTTCCAGAACTGACAAGATTCTCAGGCCCTGGGACTCCACTGACCACGGCCTGGGGAGTCCATGATCTGGGGATCTGCTGACTGCATGTTCCGCATCTGCATCCATCCCCTACCTGAGGCCATTGTGCTCCCTTCACACTGAGGACACACTAGAGCATGTTGGCCTCAGGATGCAGGACAGATATGTCCTCTGTGTGAATGTGCTGGTCAGCCTGTGTGATTGTACTTCAGGCAGGAAGGGGAGTCCTGGAATTTGGATGTTTCTCCAACTCCCACATAAGCCCCTTCATCAGCTTCTTCCTCCTTCTAGTTGATGTTGCTCCCAGGGGTCCACAGTGACAAGGTGGGGGCAGGGAAAATACAGTCATTTCTAGAATGACTCAGAGTGAATGATTGTTGGGGTGAAGGGCTTTTCAACAATGATTCCCACTGTGCAGGTCCCTGAAGGTCCCAGGCCACCCCTTCCCCACCTTAGGCATCTGATGATCATAAGGAAAGTCCTACCATTTCAATCCAAAGCTCTGCAGGGACACTTCCAGACTATGTGGTCTTGGGCCCTCTTCTGACTTCAGGCTTTACCTCTGGAAAGTGGAACTAACAAACCCGACCCTCAGAGGTTGATGGTGAGGATTTGGTGTGATGCAGGTGAAGTCCAGGCACAAACCCAGTGTTGGTGGGTTTTCCCACTTCCTGAGTCTCTCTGACCTTGGCCACTTCCTGAAGGGCCAAGTGTGTGGGTTTCCAAGTCAGAGACAAGAGCTGACACCGCAGCTGCACATTTTTTTCAGCCACCTCTGCACCTAATCCTGTGCTGGACACCCACCATCAAATATCAAAACAGCCTGAGTGTGCTAGGGTCTTTGTCCCTTTGTCCTATTTTGAAATAACAGTGTAACATATAAGAAACATGCCTGTAAACATAGAAGGAGACAGTATCAAAGAGCAATGGGTGTGCACATGATTTTAGTTCCCTCCTTTATAAAATGAGACAATAATCTTAAATCTCTGGGTCATCTAGGGGAGTACAATGCGTGAAAAATGACATATGAGATTGGTGTGGATTTCCTGATTTATAGATGAGGAGACAGATGGTTCTTCTTGTTTGCTTTGTTTTTTAGATGTAATTGTTCATAGATATGTATTGATTACCATTTTATTGTTCATAGTTTTGATCTTCTTTTTCTTAAATAAAAGTCCCTTCAACATTTCATATAATAAGGGTTTGGTGATGATCAACTCCTTTATTTTTCTCTTGTCTGGGATGCTCTTTATCGGCCCTTCGATTCTAAGTGACATCTTTGCTGGGTAGAGCAGTCTCGGTTAGAGGTCTCTGCTTTGCATGGCTTTGAATTTTTTTTGACAATCCTGCCTAGGCTGCAAAGTTTCTTTTGAAAAATCAGCTGACAGCCTATGGGTATTTTTCCTGTAGGTAACTAACTGTTTTTCTCTTGCTGCTTTATGATTCTCTCTTTGTCTTTAATCTTCAGCATTTTAATTATGATGTGTCTTGCAATGGGCCTCTTTGCATCCATCTTGTTTGGGACTCTCTGTGCTTCCTGGACATGCTTGTCTATTTCCTTCAGCAAATTAGGAGAATTTCTTTTATTTTTTTCTAATAGAATTCTAATTTCTTGTTCTTTCTCTTCTCCTGGTGTCCCTATGACATGAATGTTGGACCTCTTGAAGTTGTCCTAGAGGCTGCTTATTCTATCTTCATTTTTTGGATTCTTTTTTCTTCTTGTTGCCGATTGATTTTTGGTTCCTTATGTTCCAAATCATCAACTTGATTTCAGCTTCATGCACTCTATTCATTTTTCCCTATAAATTGTCTTTATTTCAGTTAGTGTATCTTTCATTTCTGATTGGATATTCTTCATATTGTTGAGGTCCTCACTAAGTTCCTTGAGCATCCTTATAATTTTATACATATAAAATTATGCACACACATATGCATATATGTACCCATGTAAAAATTAATGAAGATTGAGATTAACAATATCACTGAGAAGAAAATTCCAGGCCTTATTTCCTTATATAACCATTGAATAAACAGCAACATATCAACCAAAAGGCTTAATTACAACTCTAGTAACAATAAACAAAATTGGTTTTAAGTAAAATATTATGCAAGAGGAAACAATGAATAGTATATGATGATAAGAGTTTCAATTCACTGAGAGAATATAAAAATTATAAATATATCAGAGTTCCTAGTATGTGAAGCAAACATTAACAAAACTGAAGGGAAAATAAAAAAATTCATAATAATAGTAGGAGACTGATTTTTCTATTCATTTTTTGAAAGTAGGGTATTAAAATCTTTTCAAAGATATAATAATCCAAATAGTTATACCCTAGTACTGGCATAAAGACAGACATGAATGCCAATAAAATGAAATATAGATCCCAGAAATAAACCTCTGCTTTATGGTCAACTGTTTTCCAACAAGTTAGCTGAGACAATTTAATGAGAGAAAAGACAGAGTCGTTAATAAGTAGTACTGGAAAAAGTAGATATTCACAAGCAAAAGAATGAATAGTAACACTAATATTATACCATACAAAAAACTCAAAATGGATGACACCTAAATGTATGATATATTATAAAAATCTTAGAAGAAAATAGAAACATCTTTAAGACATTGGATTCACCAATAATTTCTTAGATATGACACCAAGTACAGATAACAAAAGTTAAAAATATTAATTGGGCTACATCAATATTTTATTTTTTAATTTTAAAATTCTCTGCATCAAAAGACAATCAACAGAGTGAAAGAAAAATCTATAGAATGGAGAGAGTTGCAGGTCATATTTCTGATAAGTAGTTACATCTAGAATATACAGAGAATTCTTACAACTCAAGAAGAACAACAACAACAAATAATTACAAGATGAGCAGAGAACTTGAATAAACATTTTGCAAAAGAATATATAAAAAGAGCCAACAGGATACAAAAAGTGGTTTAGTATCACTAATCATTAAGGAAATGCAAATCAAAGTTACAATAAGAAATTCTCTCACACCAATTAGCATGGCCATAAAAAGAAAAGTGCAGAGAACAGGAGGGGGAGATTGGGTTGAAGTTGGTCAAGTGGCACAGACTTACATTTACAAGGTAAATGAGCACTGGAGTATATGTACAGCATATGATAGTCATGTGATGACTATAATTGGCACTGTTGTATGGTATATTGAAAAGTAGTTAACAGAGAGGATCCTAAGAGTTATCATTACAGAAAATCATGTTTCTTTCTTTGTTTGCATTTATATGAGATAATGGATATTACTGAAACTTACTGTGATAATCATATCACAGCATAAATCAAATCATTATTCTGTATACCTTAAACATATATAGTTTGGTATGTCAATTATATATTAATAAAATTGAAAAAAAAACCTTGAAAGTGAAACAAAAAAAATGTCCAGAAAGAAGCTAATATTAGGAGAATGAAAGGTAAATATACAAGACTGGAAAACTATATTCACAAAACACATGTCTGAAAAAATACCAGCATTCAAGAAACATAAAGAGCTATCATAAATGAATAATAAAAAGACAAGCATACCCAAAACATACAGGCAAAATATATTCATGAATGTTATAGAATATATGTGGTTGACAAAAAAGCACATTAAAGGGGGTTAGCATTATTTATTCATTAGGGAAATAGAAATCAAAACCACCACTAAATTATACTACATCAACATAATCTTATTGAAATGATTTTTAAATCTTACAATATTGAATTTTAGAAATATACAAGCAAATGAAATTTTTAATACACTGCTAATGCCCTAGTCATTTTGCAGTTTTGGTTGTTTACCTACTCATTGTGAAAGTAAGAGTCAGATGATTGAACTTGCCAGAGAACTCATTTTAGTTGTGGTGCAGATCTCAAACTCACATCTAATCCAAGATACTCTTCTCTTTCCAGTATACTCTAATATTTTTCTCTTAAAATGTTAGAAATGAAACAGAAATGCATACACAGTTCATACAGAACAACTTCAATGACTGATGGCATTAATTCCCAGCCCCAGTGGACATGGCAGTGACTGCAGTTTGCAGGATTATTTGCGAAATTTGTATGAGTTGCAGGAACGGAGTATACAGACTCTGCTTGCTATTCCCCATCACAAGAAGTCTCACCCCATCAGCCTGCGGTCATACCACTGGTAATTTGGCAGTCTTCATGTGCGGGAGGCAGATGTGGAGGTTCTGATGTATCTCATCATTATGTAGCCAATATTCCAGCCTCACCTCATGCAGAGGCTAGAATACTGGAACAGCCCATAAAAATACAAGGATATTTGGAAATGACACAGAGACTCTAGAACTCCCAAGAGTCTGAGTTTTTATAAGGGAAAACTATCATCAATGTCTTTGGTTGTTGGTTTTTGTTCTCGTTATTTGGTAGCAAGATATGCACTTTACTTTCTCACAGACATAGTAGGAGGATTTGGAACACTCAGAAGCAACCATCTTCCTTGCTGTCATCCTTGCACAGTTTCCACTCTTTGGCTCTTGCCAGTTGCTTAACATAGAAGAGAAGCACATAGGTGATGTCAAATATTCATTCACTATTGCATACACAATAAGAGATATTGGTCCAAAATTAAGATGGTAGGTTCTTCTTACTTTATAGAAACTATCCCCTTGGAGCCCTAGGCTTTCCTAAAGAGGACCTTATGAGGAATACAGGCATAATGATGAAAAAAGTCCCTCTCTCCATGTGCTCATTACTGAACTTAAGTCCTTTTGTTGTATAGTATATACATGTATAAGAATATAAATGTTTCTATATATGTTTATGGATTATATGTGTGCATTTTTCATATACTCTTCCACAAATGTAAACCAGAATCTGTAAATGTAAGACTTCTGAGTTTGTTTCTGTCCTAGAGACTTACATTTTTAAAAAGTGTGGTGAGTTATCCTCCCATGTCCAGGAAGTCTTCACACCTTTACGGGACAATCCAATCCAATGGAAAGAGGACAGTTGGCTTTCAAGGAACTTCTGTCATAAAAGAGACTGATTATATGAGTAAAAACCTCTTCATATTTCTGCAGTGAAGTGAAAGTCTTTGGATATTTTTTATTATTGTGAATAAAAAGTATACAGAGATCAACTTTATTCTATTCAAACTGTAAAGTAATGTGATCCTAGTTTTGGTATTTTATTAAATATAGAGGCATAATTAGGAAAAATAAAGCTTTCTTAGTTTAGGTATTTTTATTTAGACTTAAGAATGAAATCTCTTAATTTATTTTCAAAACCATGCCTTGCCTCAAAGATGAGTTCTGAGAAAATTCTGTTTTCTACTTTGAGGTCTTGGTGTGAAAGCTGTGAGATTTCTACAAATGTTGTTTTCTATTTTTCCTCCATAAGGACCATGGATATTTCTTACAAAATGAGCATTGTGATATGGTGTCTACAAAGATGGATGGAAATTATTTTATAAGTATTAAGGTGTCTGGTATTCATCTTGTACTTTAATTTTACAGAGTATATGCACATATAATCTCCCATTTGATCTTCCTAAATATGATGGAAAGAAAATACACCCAGTTTTCTTCTTGTTTCCTGCACCTTTGAGAAGGTAAGGACAACTTAGTTTTTCTACTTAGAAAAAAAATTCACATGTTTCTAGACATAAAATGTACCATTCAATTTCAGCATTTTCATAGGTGTCTTTATTTCTCACTAAGGTACACTAAAGGAAAAGTAGGACTTCTAGACTCTGAAACTTATCTTGGACCCTCTGTACATCTATGAACTCCCAAGTTGAGATTTCTTAATCCAAAACATGCATTAACAGTGGATGACTCAGTAAGAGGACTACCGAATATAGCATCATGTATACTGCTATTCTGAAATTCTATAAGTCTATGAAAAGGCTGAGGGGTAAAGAAATTGAATTAAGAAGCAGACTTTCATAGGAAAAGCCAAATTTCCATGAGCACTTTCACTTCTTTGCTAATGTTTCTGTAAAAATTCAGAATGGTAAGAGTGTACATAGATATTTTTGAAAATCTGGTCACTATCCACTTAAATCCTACAGTTCTTATCTAAGAAAACTATAAATGATTTTTTCACTAAAGCATCATTATTGGTTTGTGATAGACAGAGATAATTATCAGGATACCCCATTCTCGCCCATACATGGCCACTTTTTAACATATTATATTTTCATAGAAGCTCTTTACCTTGTTTGTAAACAAAGTGGGCTTTAAAAAATGTATTTTATCAATAACAATAGATATTTTCTTTTTTTAAAAGTTGAGATGTAATTGACAGATGAGATTGTATTGTTTCAGGTATACAACATCATAGCTTGCTCTCCATATACATGTGAAATGATCTCCATGGTTAAGTCTACTTACCATCCATTACAATACAAGCAGTTTTCTGTTGGAGTACAAATGAGGTAAATCAGACTTTGCAAATGTTTGCTTTCTGGAGTCAAATTTTGCTTTGCTGTATGGTTTTTAAGTTCCTATTTTTTAATAGTGACTTTTGAGTAGTTCAAAGCTAAGCACATGGATTAACTAGCCCAGCACAAAAACATGATTGTTAGTGTTTACTAATCAAGTTTTTAGGGATTATTATACTATTATCCTTCATGTTGAATGTTAGGGTATATTAATGTTTTACAGAAATAATGGTAAAACACTAATTCTGTTTTTAAAGGAAATATAATGATAAAGATCATGAAATATTCAGTTCAGTTTTCTTTGGAAAGTGGTATGAGTTAAATTTTAATATGATTTAGAAACAATTGACCTTCAAACTTATATAAAGTTTTTTTTTCTTTACCTCAAATTCAATGGTAATGCTGTATTTCTTAATTTTCTTAGGGGTATAATAATTTTCTCCAGAAAGTCAGAAGGTAAATTTCTGTAAATTTATCAATATAGGACATGTAATTATTCTTGATAAGATAATGTATTTAAGGAGAAATTTTTCACAATTGTTTCATATTCAACTTTCTTGTGGAAATTCTAACTATGTATGACTTGGATGAATTAGTAAAATTTCTAAATTAATTTCCACTTGTATTTCTGACTTTACCACAGACACTGTCTGGGTCTGAGTCACTTTACAGATGTGAGCAGTGCTGAGAAACTCAAGTATTGTTTAGCATTAAGATTTAACCAAGAACTCATGACTAGATAAATAAAGTAGTGGGTAAAAGGAGATGTAGATTTGTGAGTACATAAAAGTGTTTATTCTTGTATTATTTATTTGTAGTATAGCTGTAAACCTACTATTGCCCACCCTATGCCTTGTGAGCTGGAAAACAGAAAATATACATCACCAGTTCTTTTTCATCGTCTATCTTAAGTAGTGCAGAGTTCATTTTGTTGCAGGATCTCCTACTCTCTTCAAAGCTCTTCAATTCATGGGAAAAATAGTAACACTTCTCTCCACAACATGACCATTTCCTCTCACACGTGCTGTTGTTTCCTTGAAAACAAAAGATATTCGCGGACCACTCAGTGTGTATCCTGAAAGGGAAGTCTGAGGCTCACATACTGAGAAGTCCTTCCAGGTCCTTCTAAAGACATTTATGTAATGAGACTGATGGCTTCATTTCAGCCTTCTAAAAAGTGCCCTGGCCTGAGAAGAAGGTTCTATTACTTACATTTCTCCAAGTTTATGCATAATCTTAGGAAAACATCCTAAGCCAAATTTGTAAGTAAATTAATATTTTTTTCTTACAACTTAAACTGAATGGACTTAACAATGGGAAGAGGCTTCTCTGTATTTCCTAGAACAGCAATTTTTAACCAGCGTGCTGACACAGTTGTGTTCCCAAGAATTTTTAAAAATGCCACAATTGACTATTTAATCAAGGGTCACTGATCTTTTTCACCTTAGATTGTCAAAGAATAAAAATAACATCCCACACAACAATTGCTGTCAGGTGTGAATGAATCAAAATTACACCTATATTTTTTGGGTCTGGTCAGTTGGCAACAAACATATATTTTGGTGTGCTGGAGAACATTAGTATTTTGTTTATGTGTGCCATAATGTGAAAAGGTTGAAAATTGCAGCTCTAGATTTAATAAAACCTATAGCTACAGAGAGATAATGAACTTAGTACCTGATGTACATACCCGTATTCCAGAGTATAAAATAATGATTAGAGAATCTGACAAGGAGATGTAAGTTTTTGTTTGTTTATTTGTTTTTATGTAGAAAGTGTATTACTTTGTAATCTAGTAACTAATCAATGAACAAGTGCTGGAGAGGTTGTGGAGGAAAGGTAAGCCTATATAGTGCACTGTTGGTGTGAATGCAGACAGGTGCAGCCACTGTGGGAAACAGTATGGAGTTTCCTCAGAAAATTAAAAATGGAACTGCCTTTTGAGCTGGAAATTCCACTGCTGGGAATATACTGTAAGAATACTGAAATCTAATCCAAAAGACCCTATGCACCCCAATGTTCATAGCAGCACAATTTACAATAGCCAAGTGGTGGACGCAATGTAGGTGCCCACCAACCAGTAAATGAGTGGATAAAAAACTATGGTACGTTTACACAATGGAATACTCTGCAGCAGAAAGAAAGGAGCTCCTACCCCTTGTGGCAATGTGGATGGAATTGGAGAGAATTATGCTAAGTGAAATAAGTCAGCTGGTGAAACACAAATATCTTATGATCTCCCTCATGAGTGTAACCTAATTGAGAAAACAAATAAGCAAGCAAAACATAACCAGAGACATTGAAATAAAGAACTAATTGACAATAACCAGAGGGGAGGGAGGAAAAGGATAATGGGGGAAAATAGCAGAAGGGCCATCAAGGAACATGTATAAAGGACACATAGACAAAGTCAAAGGGGGTATGTTCAATGGTGGGGGGGCATGGTGGGGTGGAAATAAAGACAACTGTACTTGAACAACAATAAAAAATAGTAATTAACATAAAACATATAATACCATGCCATGCATACAGAAAAATCTAACCTCTGGTAAAGATTGATATATTTTTCTTGTTCAATTAAAGAAAAGTGAAAGCTGATATCCAAAATTGGTTTAATCTAAAAATAAAGTCAAATTTGAGAAGGATATTTGGTGAGTAAGGAAAGAGAGAAGCAACTTGTTGGTCTCAGTGTTCAATGGATTTATCTGCATACCTGTGTTAAATGGTTCCACTACAACAGGTATGTTCTTCAACATGGAATTGTCTTCCAGTGGTGGTTTCTGTGGTTGGCATTTGTGATGACCCTGGAAAACTTTACTCAACAACATTAGCTCAAAGAAAACATAACATGGGACTGATAAAAAGTACAATTTTAATGTTAAAATGTCAGTTAAAGATCAAAAGTAAGCACTGTTTTTAATCATGTCCACTTTAGGCACTTCTCTGCATGTGATTTACACATTCATATCTCACTTGATAAAATACATTAATTAATGACAACAGGGCTTGGTTGACCTGATGATACAGCAATGAAAATGCAAAGGTTCTGTTCTCAAGGCATTCACTCACTGCAATGGGAAGAGTGCAGATACTACATGATGGGTGATATGAAAGTGATTAAGCTTTGCTGGTAGAACTCAGCAGAGAGCTGGCTGACTAAATATATGATTTAGAATAGTGAGATGTGCTAGCAAGACTTCACAGATTAGTGTGCATCTTACATTTGTTCTTTGTGGATGAAAAAGAGGTAGGAAAGTGACAAAGATAATACAATTCTAGATTGCTGCAATTAGTTTTGAAAGTAAACAAATAGAGAAAATATGACCTATGAAGGTAATCCAAAGTTAATCAAATGATAGGTTGTATATAAGGGGATTTAATGAGACAAGACTGAAAAGACAAACAAAAAATTACATAATCATAAAGAACAGATTTAAAATTCTAAAAGGCATATTGCGAATGTACATAGAGTAGTGTCCCGTCCCAGGACGGTGGCATGATAAGCTCAGCAAAACAGCCATATTAAACCTGCCATATTATGACAAATATGGCACTTTTTAAAATCTTTAAAATTTATCTCAAGGATATGTTTTTAATGAGGAAAATCTATCAATTCTTGAGAGCAGTAACAATCTGAAAAAATTGAATCACAACCTGTTCACTGTCCCCACCTGAGATCGGCATCATGGACCATCCACTATAAGTGGGTGTCAGCAGGAAGAGGAAGCTCCTTCTCCCTCCAGGTCCCAGTCTGTGTATCTCTCCATGGATATCATAAGCTAAGGTGATGTTATTTCTCCAGGAGGAGCAGGTCGCCAGTGATTGTTCTCCCTCCTAGCTCCATGTTGCACAAGTTAAATTCTAGGCAGTGGTGGCTATGTGGTTTGGGCTCTTCTCCCCTACCCATCCCATACTCATAGAGTAGAGGTACTCCCCAGTTGAAGAAGATCAAGAATATTGGGGAATCCATTGTCCTCATTGGAGCTCATACTCCTGCTTACCTCCCAGTAGGGGAGAGGCAAACCAAGAAAACCAGAGCTTACTATTCCCTCCTCCCATGACCAGGCTCATAAAACAAGAGTGTTATTCAGAAAATGGGCCACTGTCTGTGATCCAAGCTCCAAAGAAGTGCCTCAGAGATTTTTGTCCAGGGAAAAAGAATGTTGTAAGAACAAAGAACTCCAAATCTTTTCCCAAAGAACTGACTATTTGATTAAGGAAATTCAAGCCTAAGGATGCTCTTGAACACAATGTGGGTGAGGTGTGGGAGGGTTGCAAAGGGTTGGTAAGCAGTTGAGTGGACCTGTGTAGCTCAATGAAAGCAATCATTTTAACCATAGATGGGTCAGTTTACCAGAGGGAACCAAAGGAAGACAAAGCAAAGAAACACCTTCTTGGGTTTAGTACAAATATCAAAGATTGACCTCAGAACTACCCCTGAAAAAGGGCCCAAATTAAATTGGGTTAGACTGTGGAAAAGTTTGTTCACCAGGGCACTGTCAAAACCAGAGAGGCTATCAGCTGGTGATTAGTAGAATCTAATAAATGAGAGTGATACCAACAGAGCAGATATCTTAAGCATTTTAAGATTGACCTGGGAAAGAGAAAGCCAAAGAAAACCCTGCTAAAATCATGGTCAGATCTGGTGATTGTGCAGGTGCTCAAGGCTGCATCTTCTGCTGCAAGGCTGAATGCTTCCCCCTAAGATCAGGAACAAGTTGCCAATGTGCACTATCGCAACTTCTGTTCAACACTGTACTTGAGGTGCTATTTAGTTAAATTATCCAGTATATGAACACAATACTATCCACACATTTTACATGGAAAATATGAACGAATACACTCAAAACTACTAGAACCAATGAACTACAATGTCATATGGTATTAGAGCAATATACAAAATCAACTGTATTTCTCTATAGTAACAACTATGTGAAAATAAAATTAAGAAAATGCAATTTATATTAGCATCAGAAATAATGAAGGTCTCAGGAATAAACTTAAGAAGATAGTGTGAAATATGTATGCTAAAAACTGAAAGGCATTGCTGCAAAATACAAAAAAATCCAAAATGTAAGACATCTCATATTTACCAAAAGCGAATTTGAAATGGATAAATTGTGAGAATGTAAGAGATAAAATTATAAAATTCTCACTAGATAACATAGATGTAAACTCTTGTGGTCTTGAAGTGGGCCATGGTCTCTTAGATATGGCACCCAAAGTGCAAGCAGCCAAAGCTAAAGTAGATAAGCTGAACTTTATCAACATTACAAACATTTGTGCATCAAGGGTTATTATCAAGACAGTGAAAAGGTAACTGAAAGGATGGGAAAATATTTACAAATCTCATATCTGATAAGAGATTAATATGCAGATAAATTATATCCATGCAATAAAATACTTTTTCTGTCAATTTAAAGCATTGCCATGCTGATAGAATACATCATGAATGAACCATGGAAACTTTATGTTAAATGAAAGAAGCCAGCCTCAAAAGACAAAATGTCATATGATTCCTTTTTGTACAATGTTCAGAATAGGAAAATCAATAGAGATAGGAGGTAGATTAGTAATTGTTTCAGGTTGGCTGGCTTGAAAGGAAATGGCAAGCAACTACTAATGAGTTTAGGGTTTCTTTTGGAGTGACAAAATATTGTGATATTGATTATAGTTTTGGCTGTACAACTATGAATATAATGAAGCAATTAAATTTGATACTGTACACCAATAAATTGTATAAGACAATTATATATCAATATATGTCACTCACACACACACACATATCAAAGACACTGGTTTGTGAACCAGGAATCTTAAAGTCATGGTCATTAAACAAGATGGTTTTCGCCCTGGCTGGTGTAGCTCAGTGGATTGAGTGCGGGCTGGGAACCAAAGTGTCCCAGGTTTGATTCCCAGCCAGGGTACATGCCTGGGTTGCAGGCCATAACCCCCAGCAACTGCACATTGATGTTTCTCTCTCTCTCTCTCTCTCTCTCCCTCCCTTCCCTCTCTAAGAAATAAATAAATGAAATCTTAAAAAAAAAAAAAAAACAAGATGGTTTTCTTTAAAAAATATACACAGAGAATTATAAACACTCACCTAATTGGAATTGACTACAATTGCTTTAGATGCAAGAACTTGGCTGCTTATTTTTGCATCACACATAGTGTCTGACATGAGAGGAAAATCATCCACAGCACTGGTTCTCAACTGGGGATGATTTGACCCTGCAAGGTGTATTGGCCATATCTGGAAGCATTTTGGATGTAACTATCATCATGTAGTGAGTAGAGGGCAAGGTTGTTGCTAAATATCCTATAATGCACAACATAGCCTCCCTAACAAAGAATTACCCCACCAAAATATCAGTAATGCTGAGGTTCAGAAACCCTAATCTAGGAGAAAATGGCATGACAAAAATGATGAAAGGTAATAAGATGGGTTTTAGAAAGAGAAAATTAACATCTGGTTAAGGAATTAGAAAATAATCATGGTGGATTTAGAAAAGTCACTTATATTTTATAAAGTGGATTTGAGGAATGGGTATGATCCTCACTGGATGGGCCGGGGAACAGGCAGAAGGCTGTCCAGAAGGAGGAATGTCATACGAATGTGCTGGGACAGAGACACTTAGAGAACGTGAGGATAACACAGGTGATCTAGAATTATTTAAAGCTAGTTTGGACATGAGAATTTTTTAAAAAATATATTTTACTGATTATGCCATTACAGGGGTCCCATTTTCCTCCCTTTATCCCCCTCTGCCCTGCACCCCTCCTCTCATCTGCATTCCCTTCCTTTAGTTCACGTCCATGGGTCATACATAATAAGTTCCTCGGCTTCTACATTTCCTACACTATTCTTAACCTTCCCCTGTTTATTTTCTACCTACAATTCATGCTACTTATTCCCTGTATGTTTTCCCCTCTATATCCCTCCTATTCCCCTGCTGATAACTCTCCATTTGATCTCCATTTCTGTAATTCTGTTTCTGTTCTAGTTGTTTGCTTAGTTTGTTTTTGTTTTTGTATTTTTTTTGGTTCTGTTGTTAATAGTTATGAGTTTGTTGTCATTTTACTGTTCATTGTTTTGATCTTCTTTTTCTTAGATAAGTCCCTTTAGCATTTCATATAATAATGGCTTGGTGAAGATGAACTCCTTTAACTTGACCTTATCTGGGAAGCACTTTATCTGCCCTTCCATTCTAAATGATAGCTTTGCCAGACAGAGTAATCTTGGACATAGGTCCTCACCTTTTAAACTTAAAATTGTTTGATTGAAATAAGATTAAGATTATGATAGCAATCATAAGTAGGGGAATTTTAACATAATTCACTAGAGAATGAGAAATTGCTAATGATTATTTGGTGTTTTTAAAAAACATTTTTATTTATTTACTTTTTAGAGAGGTGAAGGAGAGAGAAAGAGAGGGAGAGATAAATCAGTGTATGGTTACCTCTCATGCTCCTCCTACTGGGGACCTGGCCTACAACCCAGGCATGTGCCCTAGACTGAAATCGAAATGGTGACCCTTTGGTTCACAGGCCAGTGCTCAATCCACTGAACCATATAAGCCAGGGCCAGTTCTTGGTGTTTTGATAACGTGATCAGAAATATATCCGGAGAAGAAGAATATTTGGTAATTTCAATAGGATTTTGAAGTCTGTTGAGTTTAGGATAATTTAGGAGGCAATTTCATAGTATAGAGGAAAAATATCATTGTGTTATAGTGGGCCTTTACAAGGATAAACAATTTAAAAAGTAAATTTGAGCTGCAGACTGAAGATTCAAAAATAAAAGCAAGGGCACTTGATGGCTTATTGAAAGTCAGTGTCAGAGAGGAGAGTGAAAATCAATGTACATATAGCATAATCAATCATCAAAAAAACCTCAATGTAGCTTTTCTAGCATTATCTTGAATATGACCCAGCATTTTTGAATAAAAGAGATGTCAGAAGTTTTAAACAAGTTTTAAATGGCCAAGTGATTACTTTAGTGGTGAAGGTGGAAGGGTTCCTGGGTTGAAATGGTGATCATAGCAATGGAACTAGTAGGAAAGAAATTCCAGTGGAGAAGGTAAGTGCTAAGGGGCGAACTACATAGTTCAGGGCACAGGGCTGGTTGAACTTACCCATGAGTCCCAAAATTCCAGTTGTCACAAGGAGAAAGAAACAGAAGATTCCAAGAATCACAACAGTGAGACACCAGGGAAACAGGACTGAAGACCCTGCTCAGAGAGAAAAAAGAGATCAAGTAACTCAGCAAAGACAAGACTGAAATGAGGAACAATGGTTAGAACAAGACTTCCTAAAAATTCATGTCCCTAATGTCTTCAAAGTTGGAATTATCAATTAAAAGGGATACTGACCAATTTGAAAACACAATGAATGGATAATTGAATGCATGGGTTTTCCTCCTTATGCTGTTACTGTTTCTCTTGGGGAAGTGACTTATTCTGGCTTTACCAAAATAATCCTTGCATCAGCTCAATGATTCATAAATAGAAAGTGGAATATTAGATATATAGATGTTTTTAAAACTGTGAATGTGCTCCTAAAATATATCTATATACATCACTTTAATTGATCCACCATTAGATGATTTTTCTTATTTTGGATGTATGATAAGCTTGCATACATATAACAGTTTTCTTATGGAGCTGCCCTCACCACTGTTCTTCATTTTTAAAAAAGATTTAGTTCTTTTTTATTTTTAAAATGATCACACAATAAAAATGGACTTTTTCAGCTACATTAGGATTAACCACAGCTACTGCACAGAGGAAATTATAATCACAAATATGTATCAAATGATGTTCATCAAATATTGTTCTTTGCAACTTTGTAGAATGAGCAATAGTGACATCAGGAGATTCACAATTGTTTCCAAACAAGTTGAAGAAAAATAATTTTTCTACCCAACTTTCTCAGTTATGCATGTGTACACAGCACCCAAACTACATTAATTCCCTGGAATAGACTAAATGTGGATATTTAATTTTCCACACTGCTTTTTCTGAAGCAGTATAGATATAAAATATGGTTTTAAAAACCTCGTGAAAATGGGCAGACTAACTCAGTTCTTCGGAGTAGTGGTTTCTGCCTGATCTTACTTGAATTACGTATGGAGAGGCTACACAGTTAGAGGACATGTAAGCTCGGCCCGCTTCATAAACTTTACCTTTTCTTTTAGAATATTTATTTCTTGTTATCTTTGTCTGATTGGAGTTTGAAGTAGTGTTTTTCACTTCTGAGTACATTGGTGGCCCTTTTATCTCTGGAAGTTCAAACAGAGATGTGGTTACTTCTTTATACTCACATTATTTCTTACAAAACCTATCAGCTGTTAATATGTGTGAAGAGAGTTGATAGAATAAGATTTTTACCAAGTAAAAGAAATCTATGGAATTGTTTTCTTCCTACTAGTTGAAGACCATCAAGTACATCTTTCAAATGACAAAATCTTGAAAATAAGTTACACATGTGTCATGTGCTAAATTATAATGAAAATCTTTAATGAAATTGTTTAACAAGGAACAGAAAAGAATAACAGAATTTAATAAGGATTGGGAAAAATACTTTCTTTTGGCATGTGCTTTTTTGGAAGGAAGATGTTTCAAATATATGTATGTTGTGTTCATTCATCTGAAAAATTTTGATATACACTTCTAAAAGAGACAATTTGACAGTTTTTTTAAAACATTAGTTTTCAGGTTCTGTCCTTTCTAGGCTGTGTGTATAATTAAAATCAGTATATTTATCTAGTGATGAATGATTTTACTTTTGAAATTTTTTCCAAGAAAGCCTTTTGCCTTAGATTACCTGCTTCCCCTTCTTTAAATTATCAGTTACCATTTTTCTTTACACACTTGGGTACTGTCATTTTCCCAGCTATGCCTGGACTTCTACTAATGTGATAGTTAGTTTAATTTACAAGGTTAACAATGCTATGATCAATGAAGTATTTATACTACATCTAAAATTGTCCCTACCCAGAAAATTCAAACAAATTTTTATGAGTCAATTGTATTTTAGAAATGTATGGTGTCACATCAAATGGATTGTTGGAAAGTATCTCCTTCATGATCTCTCCTAATATTTTCTTTCTATTCATCTTTACTTTTTATTAATGACTCAAAGACATTTGCTTCCTATAAATCATGAGATTGTTGCCATCTCTTCCAACTTGGTATTAAAAATGAATGTCCTACAACTAGGACACAAGTTGGTTAATCCATACTCCTATGGAGTGAGTTGTTTTATGCTCACAAAACATGAAAGCATAAGTTAAAAAAAGCAACTAATCCTGCTTGAAATAATAATTTGACTAGCAAAAGTTAAAAATGTATTTAACTTGTTTCAAGTATTTTAAATATTATTTAAATAATCAAACAAAGAAATTTACATGGGATAGAATTCTGATTATAGAAAAAAATGAAAAATGGTCACTAATTTCTCAATGTACATCAACTTAAACACTTTTTGCATATTTTTATTTCCTTGGCATAATGCTCCTGTTCTCCTTTATAATATGATTAAAAATGTAGGCCTCTGTGTGCTCATAATATTCACTTATGACATTTCATTTTTTCCCACAAGATATGTTCTCATGGAAAACATGATTGTACAGAAATATATTTATAATGTTTTAAAAAATTCTTTATGAAGTCTGCAATACATCAGAAATTATGTATATTACATTAATTAACAAAATCTAGAGGTGGATGTGAACTAAAGGAACTTATTACTATAGGAACAAGTAAAATTAAAAGTATATAAATTATTTTATTACTCATATCCTGTCCCAATTAATATGACCATTTGCCCTATTAATGCATTTGATTAATCCAACAGATATATTGAAATACGTACTAAGAAACAATCAATTATATTCAATGTTCAATCAAGAAAACTTTATAGGAGGTAATACACTTGCAAAGTTATTTTTAAACATGCATTGTTCCACTCCTTTGCCTGCAACATTGAATGTACTGGATTTTTTTTTTTAAAAAAGCAATCTATTCTTTCTGCTCTATATAGGCAATGAAGTGGCAGTAATAACAGTGACATGCGCTGAGAGCCACAGCTATAGACATAGTTGGCAATACCTGTGTCAGGGCAGTAGAGTTTTCGCTCCAGTGGAGTCTGGTCCAAATAGAAGAGGTGAGCCCCTGCAGGTGGATGGACTGGATGTGCGTGTTCTGGCAAAGAAGGTGATTCTTCTGGGCTCCCTATGTTATCTGCCCTCGTTTTCCAAGAGCCTTCAGTGCTGCTCAGCTGCACATGAAGATGTGAGAAAATAGTTCACATTTAAGCCTCAGGTTTCACTATCTGCATCCTTTATCACAAAGGCAAGCAGTTTCTTCTTACTATTTTTTTTAACAGAGGAGATGAGTGGGAAAAATAATTTAAAGAGCCATGCCTATTTTTCACAGAATACAAATCACACTTAAAAAAAAAAGACCGCTATCACCGCTTATGATGACCAACACCAAATAGATTCTAAATATATTCTGTATAACAGATGCTGATGTTTGGGGCTCTAAAGGGAAATTATACTTAATGAGAAATTTACATTTATCTTGTTAACTGCTATAATGTCTAAGTGAAAATACATTTACCCTAATAGTCTCCTTACATTTACCTGAAGGAGAGTTTGATTAATAAATTGTTAAGTTCTTAGACTGTATTAGAGTGAGAGCCACTCATTCCCTGGTTCTTTAAAAATACACCCCAAATCAATGGCTTTATTCTTTGAAATATTTTTTCCATAACATAGTCTTTACATAGTGTGCTTTTCAGTTTATTCCAACATAAATGGAGTATATTTGCTTAAAACTTCAGGGTTTGATGATTTTTGCTTTCTTTCCCTTGTAGTTATACTGTAGGTAAATAATATTTATATATATGCATATGTATTAGCTTCCTCCTTAGCAGTCTGATGTAGCATAGCTCACAGTGTACTACATAAACAATGACAATGAAGTTGAAATACATGAATCTTAGCTCAGTAGAAAAAGATTGAAATAGTTTTACTTGTTTCAACATTTAATAATAAAAGCACAGTAAAAGAATATATTTCAATTGTGGAATAACTTATACAAAAAACAGTTGGGAATGACATATTTGAAAAAAATTTCATTGAGTTTTAGAATGGAGAAATGATGAATGGAAAACAGATTCTGATACAAAATCAAGTCTTTACAGAAATTATCATACAGAATGTGTGTAAGGAAAGGATAATCATAGGTAACCTGTGAAAGAGGAATGTTTTTATACTCTGGATATATATTCCTTTTGGTTTTGTAATAGCCAAGGTCTCATTTTTGTTCTGTTCTCCCCAACTGCTATAGACTTTGTCCAAACAGCCAGATGGCAAGCTCAACATTTAACAGCCTTGCACACCCCTGAGTTGCTCATCCAGAATCAGTGCCTGGCATGTAAAGGTGCTCTGGGGTGTTTGTAGATGAATGAGTGGACAAATGAATGAATGGAGAAAACAGCTAGACCAGAAATTCTCCCCACCCCAAGACATGACCAGCAGAAAAGATTACATCTATGCATGTGTGTAGCTACTGTGTGGGAACCCTCCTGAATCCTGTAACATTGCTATTCTATCTCATTTGACAGTGGCATAAATCAAGTCTCCTGGAAATTAAGCAGCTGACCTAAGGTTTCTTGACTCCTAGGAGGCAGAGCCAATCTTGGAATCAATTCCATGGGATCCACAGAGCCTAGGACCTGCACCCTGTAGCTGGACTGTTGCAATGCAAAAGGCAGAGAAGCCCCCCTAGTAACCCTGTTGCCAAGGACTCTGTTGGTAGCACTTATCTTTTAGCAATAGATGTTCAGGTTTCCAGTGCTGGCTTGAAAGAAGCCAGTGCAACTGCCAGGGCCTCATGATTGCTCCATGGGTGGAGGGTTGTCCTACTTGGTAGGTTGTCCCAGGGCAGCCATGTCTGTTGCTGTAGTTGCCATGTGACAAGTGCTTCTATGATTGGGTCAGGGATGACAGTTGGCATTGCTCCCAGGACACCATGGACAAGGGGTGATGGAGGGGAATGGGGGGTGAAGGGAAGAGAGAGAGGAGTTCTGGTGCCTACTCCCCCAGCCCTCCCCTGCTTCTTCTCTGCACCCAGACACCCTGGATGTGCAGGAAAAGAAAAGCCTAATATGGCTCAGGTAGCAGAGAGGCTCATTGTCCTTGCAGGCCCCTGACGATGTCAACCCTGAGTAATGGTGGCCCCCAGATCCCTGTGCTGCCACTTCTTCATTGTGCCTTATCCTCCTTGGAGGAGCCCCACACTGCCCCCCTGTACCCCCTTCCTCCAACTAAGCAGAGCTTTCCCAACTGGAGAGAGAAAAAGAGAGAGAAAGGAAAAACTGCATCCCAGGACGGCTTGTAAAAGACGTTATTTGTGAGTATATATAGGTAGGTTTATGCCTGAAATTCAGGCCAGAGGTCAGGGGAGACACAGCTGATCTTGGAACTGAAGAGAAGGCCTTATGGGAGGTAGGGCCGATTTTGAGCTGGTGGCCTGCACAGGCAGCTGGCCACCCAACAGAGATGCCAGCTTTTGTCCCTGCAGCAGAAGTGATGATCCCTGGAGACAGTGAGAAAAAAGCTGCAGTTAGCAGGTCTCCATTGAGGGCTATCCCCACCCCAAATCTATATACAGGCTCCCTAGACCCACTGCTGCCAGTTTGGCTTTGGGCACAGCTCTCAATATGTCCAATCTGGAGAAAGTTTCCTGTGCCCAGCTCAGTTGTGACTAACACTTAAGCCATAAGTGATGGAAGACTGGGGTGAGGACAGGATGCTATATCCTCCACAGACAGGTGCATGTCCAGCCCTCTGTCAGGAGCAGAGGCATCAGTGTCCCCCTGTGCCATCCAGGTGTCCTGTGGGGCAGGGTTGGAAGTCTGCACAGGGCAGTGATGCCAGAGAACTGGTATTTGTGGAAACCAAAGGTCTACCAATTTTGACTTAAAGTCGATTTTGTCTGATACAAGGAGAGCCCGGCTTGTTCTCTTTCATTGTTCACTTGCATGTAGTATCTTTTCTCATTCCTTCAGTTTGAGCCTGTGTCTTGTCTTTAAAGCAATGTGAGTCTCCAGTATGCAACATATACTTGGATCTTAGAGATTTTTAAATCCAACAAGCCACCTCTTGTGTTTTGATTGGCAAGTTTAATCCATGTACTTTGAGCATTTTTTGATGTATAAGGACCTACTAATACCATACTACTGTTTTCTTGCTGTTTTGTAATTATCTTGCTCTTCTCTTACTCTTGTTCTTTGCTAATTGGTGATTTTTCAAGGTCATATGCTCCGATCCCTTACTTTACTTTCATGAATTTACTATAGTTTTTTTTACATTGTGGTCACCATGAGTATTACATACATCCACTTAGAAATGTAAGTCTACAGTATACTGAAACAACTTTAACCACATGCAAAACTCAGTCCTTCCGCTCAAATCCTTTTATATCCAACACTGCAATTTACTTCTGTGTATATTGTCTGTTCCTTAAAAATCTTGGTTGTTTTAGTAAATTTCATACTCCTGTCCTTTAACATTTAAGTTAGAGTTAAGTGGTTAACATACCATTATATTATTTTACATAATTATTTCTCTAAATCTGAGCGTATGTTTACATGTATTAGTGCATTGTATATTTTTGTATGTTTTCATGTTACTAATCTCTTTATTTCTGCTTGGACTGCTCTCAGCATTTGTTGCAACTCAGGAGTAGTGAGGATGAGCTCCCTTGGTTTTGGCTTATGTGAAAAAGTCTTTATGTTTTCTTGATTTCTGAAGGATAATCTTGGTAATAGATTATACCGTTATCTTTTTTTTCTTTCATCACTTTGAATATATATCATCTAAACCTCTTCTGGCTTGCAAAGTTTTTGCTGAAAAATCCACCAAAATCCCAAAGGGAGTTCCTTTGTAGGTTGCTGTCCTTTTTCTTTTGCTGCCTTAGAATTTTCCCTTTGTCATTGATTTTAGATGATTTTATTATCATGAATCTTGAGGAAGAGTGGTTTGGATTAAAATAATGCAGTGACTTTTTCAGCTTTATGAACTAAATGTCCAAGCTTTCTCCAGGGTTGGAAAGTCCTCTGCCATTGTTTCTGCAATAAGTTTTCTGTGGCCGCTCTGCCTGATCTGAGGAAGCACTCCTTCCTCTGGAAGGCCAGTGGTAGGTGCTCTCACTTTCTCATTCTGTTTTAGTTTTTGTTGTTGTTGTTGTTCTCCTCTTGCTGTGTTGTTTCAAAGCTTCTGTCCATAGGTCATGGATAATTTCTTCTATTTGGCCTATTGTGATATTGACGTTCTCTATGGCACTTTTTATTTAATTCGTAGAATTCTTCAGCACCAGAGTTTGTGTTGGTTTCTATTTATTTCTTTTTAATGACATCTATCTCTTTGTCAATTTTTCCATCTTGATGGTGTATTGCTCTGGGATATCATTTTTCTGTTTGAACCATCTTTCTTTGTTTTCTTTCAACAATTCAAATTTTCTTAATTAGTCAATTTGAAAATGTTTGGTGATTAAATCATAGATCTCATGTCTTTGTGTTGGGTACTAGAAAGTTGTGAACTTTTAGTGATATCATGTTTCTTTGATTTTTCATGTTCTTTGGAGTTTGTGTTGCTGTTTTTACATTTGAAGTAGCAGTTTCCACCTCCAAGCTTCACTGCCTTCAGAAGAGAAATACCCTTTGCCACTCCTGCTATTGACTCTGAGGCTTACCAAGACCTAGTATCATTTCACCTGCCCCCTGCTTCTTGTTGCCCCTTCTGACAGAATCCTTAAGCCTGTATGTCTTCTATCATGCCATGCATTAAATAGGTTGCTGATAGCCTCTTTTGTTTTCTTGAATGTGGTATTACAATTCAAATTTGTGGTTTCTGCCTTGCCTTGAGACTCTTACATTGTTTTTAATGGGCACTCTGTCTTCCAGAGCACACATATGCCTCTGTCCTTGGAGTGCACGTGGAGAGCCATGGTAGAGAGCGGAGACGGTTTATGGGGCACGTGGTGTATTGAGGGTGCCCACAGTTCCACTGGGGTTGTGCAAATGTTATTTTCCATGTGGTTCATAAGTGGGCTTGTGATGAATTGAAAAATGCATTTGACAAAAACAACCTATTTTTAATGATCTCTGAGAATCTTTTCTGACTTTTTAAAAATGTCTTCCTTACATAGGTCATGAAGCCAATTGGTTTAATACCCTTGAATCTGCTGAGGGTATTGAGTCCTTGGCAGCAGTCCGTATAGG